GATTTGATTCGACAAATGTAATAAAAGTTTTGAACTTTTCTTTAAAAAGAAGAAAAACAAAACAAGAAACAAAAGGGGACAAGTTATATAAAGAACCTTAAGAGCGAGACGTTTATAGACACGTTTGACTTCGGCTTGAGAGGCGAGAGGGGTCAAGCCAAGAACCGTGTAATGGGTAAGATCTGATGATGACGAGCTTCTCGTCGGAAACCGGATAAACCGGCGGTGGCTAACATCGATTTGGAAGGTAGAACCGGGATGATTCGTTGGAGATCTGAACCGGCTATTTCGAATCATTGTTCTTCTTCACCAACCAAACGATTAATACTATTACCTTACCTTTTTGGGAATGTGTGAAGATGGATTTTAATGCAGACAATAGTATATATAATCTTGTACCCGACGGTATGGTTTGGATAATCCGATAACACGAGTCCGATGGTCGGTGATTATTTATTTTGCTTTTAATATTCTTTGGTTATTTATTGTCAATGAAAAGCAAAAAAAGAAGAGAACACACAGTCTAGTTTAGTGTAAGAAAGCGGCAAACGAAACAATTCTTTTTGTTTAAAATAGAACATTTTTCTTGTTTACAAATACTAATTTTTTTTTTTAAAAATAGAGAGATTAATAAGATTTGTTCAATCTTATAAGAGACTTCTTAGTTTAATATAGTTTATAAACATTCTTGTTGGACATATTTACAAAAAATCTAGACATCCATTCCTAAATTTTTTTGTCCAACTATGATATTTATTTTTGGATTTACTAATATACTATTTGGTTATTTTTTTAGTAATGTTTGTCTAAGTTTATACATTACTAACAATTTCTGTGTGTCTACTAAATGTGAATTATTGTGTTATTAGCTGCTAACTTAAGAGGACATATATAACCAAAACTACATAAAGCTCTCACATCTGATCTCTTTAGGTTTGATCTCTCCTCCTTGGCTCCTTCTCTCAAGACTGTTTAGCTTCTCCTTGCTCTTACTCGAGCTGCCGCCACTTTCTCCCTTTCCGATCTTCTTCATCCTCATTTTTGCTAAGATAGATTTACCAATTTGTGTTCAAGTCTCATATCACTTCTAGAATGAATTCTTAAACTTTGATCACCTAGCAAAGTT